ATTGGTGGCTCGGAATACCCATAGAAAGAGTTCGAGTTCTTTCTCAAGCAATATCCATACTCATCGGTATAGAAGTAGTCTTCCTCGTTCCTTCGCCAATAACTAGGTCCTCTTACGTCTCGATCTTTGATCCACGAGCCTCGTACCTCCCTTTCATACTTGTAAGGTGCCTGGTGGGTATACAAATCGTGATAATAGGCTGCCATCTCGAAAAATTTGGGTCAAGCTCGATAAAATCGCCCTAAGACAAGTTATCTCACGAGTATGGGGGCCAACTATTCTTTCCAGCAGAGTACTGGGCCACCCAGTATTCTGCAAGAAAACAAAAAAGAAAAAACAAGGAAGAAGTGGGTAAAAGATGATAAAAATAAAATCCTAAGAAAAACTCAATTAGTACTCAAAAATCACAATTTAATAACACTACTCCCCGACAACGGCGCCAAAATTTGACCGCGCGTCGCAACGCGGCAAAATTAAAATTTATATTTTTCCTTAACCAACCTCTACTAACTAGTAGTAGCGGCGAGTAAGGGTCGAACCCAAAGGGAGTGTGAATCAAATTGTGAATTTTCTCGTATTAATTGAATTTTTAAAAAGCGATAAAAAAAAGGGAGAATTGGATTAAAGCTAAGATCCTAATTAAATAAATAAAATCTAAACAATGAAATAAAATAAAAATAAAATAAATAAGAGAATTTTCTAGTTCACGGTTCCGTCTACACCCTCGACTGACTCATCTAATCAATTCTGGTATCAAATCTCGTTATCTTATGAAATTACTAGCCCTAGGTAACGCCACGGGCTGTTACCCGAATTTTTCCTTATTTTTAATCTAACCGCGAGACGCTCTACGATTAAATCTGACCTCTTGAACAGTCTAGAAAACGCTTCCTAAATTTAATTCAATTAGCCTCTTTATGAATTAGAAAAATAGGCTAGACTAAGTAGTGAACTCAACCGCGTTCGTTCACTTAAATAGACCGTGTTATCCTCGGTAGTTACCATCTTCCGGATACCACTTGCGAATTAAACACATAAACAATTACGGATTGAAGGCCTAATTCAGGTGTAGATATGTAAAACCTAATCTAGGTGATCAATCTAAATAAGACTCAACAAATCATGGTTAATTATTCAAAATAACACAAACAATTCCAAAAAGAGAACTCAATAATCAACCAAGAAAATCAATCAAACATCGTCAATCGTAGGGTTCAACTTCCCCGGAACTAGAAATAAAATCTAAGCTAACATAATAAACAAAAAGGAAAAGAGAAGAATAGAATTATCCTTCTCATGTGCGGGTGCGGCTTCCTCCGCTTCCGTCGGATTTGTCCGTCTCTGCTGTATTATTTTCTCGTACAACTTTCTTTTATGCTCCGTGAATGCGGCTCTGTTTCCAACCAATAAATCCTAATGGCTTTGTGAGTCCCCTCTTTTTTTTTCCCAAGTGGCTATCTTTTAATTAATTGTTGATGCACTCTCTTTTGATAAATGGGCTAAAGTCATAAAATTATTTGGGCTCACCAAATATCTCATATTCCAAACTCTCATGAGTCATGACTATTGTCCATCTACCTTTGCGTGTAAGTGTCCCTCAACTGAGTGGCTTTTGATTCAATTCTCTAACAATTGGGCCCGAATTTGGGTACGTGTTGGGCTGAGTATGGGCACCCTGTACAAGACTACTCAATTCTCGTATGGTTCCACGCCGCTAACGAAAATCTTCCAATATCCTAAAAATAAAACATAAATATATCATAGCATTTATATACATCTAATAAATAAATAGGCCAAAAAATATATAAGTGCGAGAAAATTAAGCATATAAAAATACGTTAATAAATATATAATACACACACTTTTTCCGACCAAACACTAGGACGCGATTTGCAGTCAACAATTCATTGGTGTGCTGTGTACGACTATCCAGATGATCAGCCAGATCGCCGTAAATTTTAAGCTGTAAGTTCTCTACGCAAACCTTTATATCCGTTGCGCATAGGTTTACATTTTCCTATTGAATTCGTGATTTGTGCATAACGAGATCTTCATTGATCCCAACAGTATATCTAAACAGTACATATACTGTATATCTGATTTTTTTTATTGAAGGAGATTTTCTCCAATAACAATTTTATCTGAATTTTTGTGTTTCAATTCCTGATATCGAAGGAGATTTGGAAAGATTGTTTTTATTTTGAAATCCTGTTTTTTTTTTTCTAATTGTGATAAAAAATAATAATAAGAAAGAAAACACTGATAAGAATCTTCTCCTCTTTTTCGTTTGAATTTTTGATAATCTCATTCAAACATGGTAAGGATCACCTTTGTCACCCCCCTCCCCCAGCCCCCCCATTTTTTTTAATGTAAAATTTGTTTTGATCTGCGTGAATCGATGTCTTAAATTAGTGCTGAAAGGTAACTGACTATTGTACATTTGTAAATATTTATCCACAACAGTTCACATTTGATAAAACTTTCTTACTCATGTATATTTAATAATAAGTCTTATATAGAGTATATGTATGTAAATTTCCTGGAAACCAATATGATTTTATTAGGCTTAATGTTATCATCCGGATAGGTAAACCTGCATCAAGAGATTCCAAATGACACATTAAAAGGCAGATAGTCATTGAACCGACGTAATTTCAAATACCACCCCGGTTCAGGCAACAAACCGGACCGAACTACCGAAGACCGAAGTGGTCAACGACTACCGAGGTCAACGTCTACCGAGGTCAACATGGAACCGAGATCGTCACCTCCTTAAGCAGGTGACAAGGTGCCTACGAACAACCCTCCTGCTCCACAAGATCCGTCATCATTTATGTGGGACCCCCTGCCTCAAACCGCCCACAAAAAGTAACTTTATTCGAAAAAGTAATGCACAGATCCCAATGTATCAACCCGAAATTACTATAAATAGCGGGCCCATAACATTTGTACGGGGATCTCTCTCCGAACTGAAAAAAAACTTTATTAAACAACACGTAAAAGCCCATCACGGCTCTTCACCTCGGTTCACCTCGGACCGGGGCCATTGTTGAGTAAATCTTACATGCTTTACGTCCAAATCATTCAAAATTATCCACTTAATCACCAACTACATCGTTGTTACAAATCACATAACAACACTTAATATGGCTTAATATGTAAAAAACCAATATGTCATAGAACAAACCACACGGCTGAAAAGTGCTTCTACAGAGCTGATTTGAGTTATGTGCCCAACATCAACCCCACATGTCAAGGAAATCAGATCAACATGGCTCAAGTCCACAACACTTCTTCTTCCTCAGTCAATGGTGCAACAAGTGTGGCAGACTCAAGTCAAGATCAGCTTTGGTTTCCTGATTCTGGAGGAACCAAACATGGCACTTATGACTTTGTAAATATGAACATTGTCTCAACCTACCATGGAGATGAGAAAGTACAGATAGGAGATGGATCAGGTCTGAAAATTTCTCACATTGGCTCTTTTGTTTTTAGTTCACAGAATGATGGTGATCATAATTTTTTGCTTAATAACCTTCTTCATGTTCCTAACATTATTAAAAATCTCATTAGTGTTCTCAATTTGCTAAAGATAATCAAGTATTCTTTGAGTTTCACCCAAATTTCTGTCTTGTGAAGGATCAAATCTTAAAAGTGCTCCCAAACAAGCACTTCATAATATTACAGTTGGACCATTGAACTCCAACATGGCAAATGACATTAAAAATATCAAAATTATTAGTCCCAAATTGTAGAGATATTTTAGTATTGATCCCACTAAAAATAATATTATTTTTTTTCATTTCAACAATTGGAAGAAAAAAAAGAATGTTCTCATTATTAAGATTTACCCAATCTTTATTAATCTTTCAATAATATCATAAACCGAAATATTTAATCCTTCTATAAGATATTTTTAATTTTTTTAAACATCCAATTTAGGCTAATATAGATAATAAAATATCGATTTTAAAATGTTAAAAATAAGATTTATGTAATCAATTTTTTTCCAAATGCTACAAACTTTACAAATAAATGACATGACCATTTTTACAAATGCTACAAACTTCTACTATCGCATAATTTGTGTATATGTTTACTACACTCCTTCGTGTTTTATATATCCCATATATACATTGAATAAATAATCTCCTGATCAAAACTTGGTGCGTGTTCATGCCTGCAATTTTGGTTCGAGTTGAAAGAAAAACTCTAGTCGTGCACCAGTAAGGCCAAGTAACCTCCATTATTCTTCAATCCCTTCTACATATACTCATTCCTCATCTTCTCCGTTTTTCATCTCAAAAAATCAATATTTATGGTATTTCTTGCATATCGAGTAAAAAAATCAATATTTATAGTAAACGGCATGGTAAAATGATTTAACCTCAAATTATAAATACATGAAATCTCTTTTTCTTTTTTTTTGTTTGTTTATTTTTTAAAAAAATTGAGAGTGATATGGATTCTAAGTTTTGAAAAATTGATGGTACATGTATCAATATTTATGTTTATAGTAAAAGAGTGATTCGACTTAAACTACAAGTTCGAAATTTAATATTTAAAAATCAAACCCCGTGAATTACATTTAAAAGCGAGTTAATTAGATGCATGAAAGTGAAAATATATCATAGTTATTAATTAGGGAAGTTTAAAGGGTATTTGATGCCTATTAGCTATTATATATACCGACCCTGTCATGGTGTCATTTGTAATTAAAAGTGAAGATTCCAAGAGATAAGAAGATTCATGTAGTAATAGATAACTACAATAACACCAAAAATATTAACCTGATCACATGTTGAAATCCCAACGACATAGAAAACCTCGGCTAAACTCGCACCCACTAGTGAGTTTTTTATTGTTTAACCAATACACTACTCATGTTGTGGTCTATATATATATAGGTAATCCACTCATGATAAAAATTCTTCTTCTGGTGAGAGCAATGGCCTAACAAATCAGTATAACCGAACTTTTCCCTAAACTCTAACTGTGTCTCACTTAACATAAGCAACTACGACGGTGACATCATCATAATTCCCCCCGGTATGCACGACGCTGGCCTCAATAGCCGCAAACTCCAACGGGCTCATGAGCTCCCAGTCGAGCGAATTCTGCCTCGCCACCTCAGCCAGCCAGCGGGCTGCAGCCTCTGGGCCTTCACCATTCCCGAGGCACTCAGCCACCACCGCCGCTATGTCCCATTGGAAGACATTGTCGAAGAGCCCAGTGGTCCCCATGACCACCACGTCACCGGCCTCGACTCCGACCACCAACTCGTCGGCGTGCTGGGGCCCGACGTTCCCTTCCCCCATTTGGTACGGGCAGATGAACTCGTGCACTTGGACCGGCGAGGCGTAGGCGATCCGGCCACCACGTACCACCACGAAGCCGCTGTCCCCGAGATTCGCCGCCCGGAGGATATTATTCCGGCGGTCGAGGGCCGCGACGCAAGCCGTGGAGGAGCCTCTCGACTTCGTCTTCGAGTTGGCTTTTAGGAGGATGTTTTTCGGGCCGATTGGGCCGCGGGCCACGGCGCGGGCCGCGTGGGTCATGAGCTCGCGGGCGTATTCGCCGGCGTCGACCCCGCGGGCCGACCAGCCGCCGACGCCGTCGGCCACGCCGATGATGGGAGGGTTAGCGGAGATGAAGTGGGAGTCTTCGCCGAGGGGCTTGGAGGGGTTTTCCTTGGGGATGTAGTGAGAGGCGGCGCGCCATGTCAGCTTCGACTCGGCGGCGGTTGGTGGCGAGAGATGTAGGGCTTTTCGGGTTTTGCGGAGGAGACGGATCAGCTTCATCTTCATCGTGGGGGCCATCTTTGTTTTTCTTTTCTTTTCTTTTGTCTTTGTTTTTGTTTGCGTTAATTGTGTTTGTTGTAGTATTAATTTAGTCAGGAATCAGAATATTTATTTTCAATACCGCTACAGCCCCCGTCCATTTCCCACCGCATAAAATTACTCCCTGACGTGGCATTGATGTGCCAGTCTAAATCATCAAATTTTTCGGCCTCATCATTCGGCCAACAAAAAAACAGACTTTTACTGAAGTTGGGTTAATAAAAAATAAATATTAAAAACTTCATCCTTCCCTACTACCCAGCCATCGCATCACCCACATCATAGTCGGGCTCGAGGCCACCGAGTCCCCGGCAACGTCACCTCACTCGTGGTTCCGGCCTTGTGTCAATGTGCTCGCCTCCCTGAGAACCGCTGGTCTCCACAGGCGCATCAAGGTTCCACCACCCACTATCTCGGCATCCTCTCCCGATCCTTCCCCCGCTCTGCCGAAGCGTTTGACAGCCGCTACGTGTTCTTCCTCCGGCCCCTGCTCGAGCATCTGGTAGAGAATCAAGCCCCGTTCATGGTCAATTCGGCAAAAAAAAAAAAGAATCGAGTATACATCCTAGGGAAAAATTGGGGAAATTTGGGAAAAAACGGGAAAATTGGGGAAGAACTGATAGAAGAACAAAAAATTGGAGAAGACGTACATCTTAGGGCAGGAGAAAATCTGACAGATAAAAAATTGGGGAAAAATTGGTAGAAGAACAAAAAAAAGAGGAGAGAGACATTAGGAATTTTTTAATAAAAGTTTTTTTTTTATCTTGGCCGAATAATAAGGAAATTAGAGTGACACGTCATTAGAGAGTACTTAATGCGGTGGGAAATGGAGGGGTAAGGAGCATTTTTGATTTATTTTTGCTGTTTTGCTATTACCTTTTGGGGCTAGGAATTGGGATTTTCGTTTGTATTATTAAATAAAATAATAATTTATATGTTGGGCGGTTAATTAAGGGGTGACTAGTTTAGTTTTTTTTTTTTTCTCTTTAAAAAATGAGGATCAATATTGGTTCCCCAATTCCCTCGGGTGACTCAAACTCGGGACATGGTACACGCCGAGCAAAGGTACGCGCCACTGCGTTAACCCCTCTTCGTCGGGATGACTAGTTTAGTTAATTTAATAAACTTTAGCATCATATTTTTATAAATTGTATCTATAAAAACTCATATTTAGATTAGATGAAGTAATTGTGTGAAGTAAATCACCAAATATTTTCCATGCGGATTAACCAACCTTTATTTTATGTATTTTAAGCATTAATATAATATGAACACTCTGTATTTGTACTTGACGGATACATACAACTTTTTTTTTTCTTGTAGTATTTTAAGCATTACCTTTTCTTTTGCTATTTAAGAAATGAATACATTCATTAACTATAATCACATTGTCTAGAATTTGTCTACTAGAAACAAATGCAGATTGAGCTTTACAAATATTACTATATATTTACAAATGAAGGCGAATTGGATACAACCCACCACGTTTTTTGTAAGTATGGAAGTCCAACCCATTTAATTATTTTAGCGGGCTGATAATAATTGGGTAATCGAAAATGGCCCATAAAGGGAAATATCACAACTAATAAAACTATAATCTATTAATATATCTATATCTATATCTATATCTATATCTATATATATCTATATAAAAAGGTTGTTGGAAAAATCATTTTTGGAAAGTTAAAATAAATGAGTCAAAACTTTGACTTACCTCTTTTGGAAATCAATTTAAAAATCTGAAAATTTGTACGGTTTTCACACAGTTTGATTTTTTCTTTTTTAATTGTTAATATTGAAGAAAAAACATCCCATATTTTACGCCACAAAAAAAAAAAAATATGTTCACACGAAAAATCCGCCTATTTTAAACAATCAAAATTATGTTCACACTTCACATGTTTCCAACAACACTAATATAATGCTTACAAAAATTTGGTTTGCACTAAAAAAAATCCAATTCTCTATCAAAACTTTCTAATTCACTTACAAAATCATTTGATTTGTTAGCTATATTTTTATTCTATTAATCAGTGTGCACGGAATAATGCTTACAAAAATATTTTTTAATTAATACTTTTTCACAATTACATAATTTATGTTATCGAATAAATTTTTTAGTTTAGAAAAATATTATTTTTCAAAGTAATTGCATTGCGATTGAATTCCTTTTTAGTTTAAAAAATAAATACAAAGATTAACAATTTTAATTAATTATAAAATTAATGAAATGAAATATGCATATAAATCTACATCAATCAATTATATTGTTTCCTAATAAGTAGGATAGAGATACGTTTAAATTAATATAGAACACATATAAAAGAGTTTGATGCTCTTTGGTCACATCTTATTTTACCAAACGATACCTATCTATTTATTAAAATACTACGTATTTTTAAATTGATTTTATAAATAAATAATACTAATGTGCATTAAATATTTTTCATTACATAAAATAAAAAGAAAAGAAGACGTACAACTTCTATAAATTTTATAAATAATAATGACATTATATGACAACAAAGTTTATAATAAAATCTATTTATATATAAAAAAAGGTTTTTGGTTAAATCCTTTTTAGAAATTTTGACCAAAAAATAATACCTTTGACATTTAAATTATAGCAAGCTTGAAAAAAATAAAAAAGCCCCAATTTAATATCACATTTTGAATTCAAAAAATTTTGGTGTAGAGTGATAAAAAGACACGAATTTAATATCACATTTTGAATTCAAAAATTTATGGTGTAGAAAGATTATAGGAATGTGTGGATAACTCACCTAAAAGAGATAACTATGGTCATTATTTTTTAGTTAATCTCTTATTTTGATTTAATTTTATGAAAGGTAATCACATGCTCATTATACAATTCCATTCAATTAGGTTTCCTATGTAAATTCCATTGGATAAATAACAATTTAAAAAAAATACAATACAATAACATAAATAACAATTAAAATACTACAATACAAATACATGTTTTAATCGGATCCATACAAACATAAAACTTAAATTCCATTCCACTAAAAAAATACATTATTATACAACTTTGATCAATAAATAAATTAATAATTAATATAGTAATTTGTTACTACTGCAATTCTTTGTACACGAAAAAACATCTACACTGCTTAACCATCCAATTGATTAGGACTTATCTTCTCATCATATTATTAAAACTCCTATTTTAGTGGCTATCAATTATTATCTAATGAATATCAATAATTATCAAACAACATTTAAAAAACATGTATTGACTAAAATTAGTTAAATTAAATAAAAAAACTTATTATAGATAAATTATGGGAACCGAAATCTGTTACGAGAGAGAGGGAGAGAGATTTAAACTTATTTATATAGAAATTAATTTATTATCCAACTAATTTGTACTTATCTTATCATCCCACTATAGTTTGAATTTATTAAAACTCATATTTCAATGGTTATCAACTATTATTTCATGTCTTTAAAATGAACACCGAACGACCATCACGTATCACAAAAAACTCACTCTCATTTGGACGTACAATCAGACAAGCAGAAAAATGGCAAAAGTATGGAGAAACATCAAACAAGTAACAAGGACCAACATACCAATGCTAAAGTTAAAAGTGGTTCGAGTTTTCAAAGGACTAATGAACACTCATCCTACAAGAACATCCTTAAAATTGTCTTTCATGACATTGAGGTATAATTCGCAATCAAATTAATGACTAATTCTTTCTTCTCATATTACACAATAAATTTCTAATATTATCTTTTTTTTTTTATGGCGGTCGAATTACAGAAATAATAAGAGCAGTAAACATCCCAACTTTCATCAATGAATTCCAAGAAGGGGTTGTCTATGAATTTCGAAACTACCAGGTCGAGAGTAACATTGGAATGTACAGATCCACCATTGCACAATACATGCTTATCTTACATGGTAGAACTGTACACATAAGCTACAAGGGTGACTTTCCAATTTACCGTTTCGACTTTCGAAGGTTCATCACATTAACTGATGTCGAGAAGATCGACGAATCAATGCTATTTGGTAATTGTATTTTCACTTATTTATTTATTTATTTATTTTTTTAGCATTTTCATGATAAATAATAATTTTACTCATATTTAACACATTTTAGATATCATTGGGATGGTGGTCGAGGTAATTCCAGTTCAATTGAAGACATACCCGAAAACATTTTGCTTCAGCTATCTGATGATCCTATTGCTCAAATCGTTGAAAGCACATATCCAATGTACAAGGAGGCGCCTGACGATCCAAGTTATTTGAAGGATAGTGTTATATTAGCGCCCACGTTGGATGTGGTCGAGTCTATCAATGAGTACATGACATCATTGAATTTGTTGGATGGTTGTATGTACTTGAGCTCTGATAGTACGTGCAAATCGGATTCTAATAATGATTTTTTGTCTCATCTCCATACGCCTGAGTTTTTAATAGTATCAAGTGTTCCGGAATACCAAACAATGAGTTGTATTTGAAGATTGGAACTCCAGTCATGTTGTTGCAGAACATGGATCATTCTATGGGTTTGTGTAATGGGACACGATTGGTTGTGACAAAACTATCCACTCGTGTTCTTGAGTGTAAGATACTCAGAGGAGATCATGTTGGTGATACGGTGTTGATTCCAAGAATGAACAAAACTCCTTCTGATGTTAGAATTCCTTTCAAGTTCCAGCGGCGGCAGTTTTCCATTATGGTTTCTTACGCATGACTATAAACAAGAGTCAGGGACAATCCTTATCTCATGTTGGCTTATTTCTTAAGAAACCAGTGTTCAGTCATGACCAGCTATATGTTGTTGTCTCCCGTGTCATTAACCGAAAAAGGTTGAAAATCTTAATTTGTGACGAAGATGACGTGCCAAAGAATCAAACCAACAATATTGTATGTAGGGAAGTGTTCAATAATATATGATCTTTTTGTTGGTGTTATATACTTAAGCTGTGCTTTAGTGGAT